GAAACTGTCTAACTCCCCTCAGCCATGGTGTCATCTGAAAGACAAGGCACAGCTCCTACGTGGGGTTGTGTGAGGACACAGTGTGCGCATGCACCACAGATGCCAACCACATCCAGAGAAGCTTTTCTCTAAAGACAGCATTAGTCTTCCTCCATTCTTGGTAATGTGGTCATGCCAGGCAGGACCCACTTCTCCGTCAACACTCACCCACTGAACGCATGCTCCCTCAGATTGGCCTCTGTCTTCAAGGGCTCATGGAGGGACCCTCGCTCTCTCTGGTGTTCTCTCACTATGGGACCCAAGAAGGCTTCACAGCAGAAGGGCGCGGCCTGGCCTTGCACCGGCCAAGCAGACACCGAGAAGTGGGGCAGGGATGGTGGGGCAGAGAGAGCAGCATGTGCGAAGTCCGGACATGGCCGGGCCTGATCACAGAGCCAGATAAGTTGCGAAATGTCCTGACAGCATCAGGGGAGGAGCATCTCGCATGTTTGCTCACCACTCCCGTGGAGGCTGGCAGGCTGATAAGGGAAGTTGAGAAAGAGCTTCCTTCTCAGTGCAGAAATGTGACTGAGTTCTGGAAGAGCTGACCATCCTCCTGCAAGGACCAGGGTGCTCAGACCCTCACCCACTGTGCATTTCTCATCAGATGAGACTGGATGGGGTAGCTCCCTGGTCACAGCGGCATCTCGCTATACCCCAACCATCTTCCCAGAAAGGCAGCACCAGAAATGCTGCCACGAGCCGCAGGTCACCACTATGAATTCAGATCGCAGTGGGGACAGGCCGAGGAGAGAACCTAAGGTATTCTCGACGTTGCGTTTCTGGTTTGTAGGGGAAGTAGATGGTTCTTAAAAAGAGAAGCTGAGGAAGAAGAGGTTTGCAGGGGAAGATTAGTCCAGTTTGGGGTCGTGTTGAGCTCTAGAGGCAGGTGCAGCCTCTGCTGGTGGGTCCAGTGGGCAGTGGGACATGCAGGCTGGGGGGCTATGCAGAAAGGCCCCGGACATCACTGAGGCCAAGCAAGGCTGGGAGCCCAGAGGGACAGGGGACGGAGGCCAAGGGCCAGGTAGCGGTTTGTTGTTGAGGGGAAGGTGGGGAGAAGCGTGTGAGTATGGTCTGACAGCAGTAGTTTCCCCTGCTCCTGCTCCAGGTCCCGCACACCCGCCACCCAGTGCTCGTTTGAGGCGGAACAGCATTATTCCACGTGTGGCAGCTCCTCAAAAGACGCTGGGGGTAGAGAGGAGGGAAGAACTGGGCCCCGAGATGAAGAGGAGCAGGAGCCTAGAGAGAGAAATGGGATCACAAAGGATGGGACAGAGTTCTAGAGAGAGAAGAGATGGAAGCAGCCTGGTGAGGCCTGGGGGTGGGGCCTCCAAAGTTGGGGGGAATCTGAGACGGTAAGATGAAAGGAGGGAGAAGAGGAGACAGAGCTCATTCTCTTGGCTCTGTGTGGGAAGAAGACCCCACCCCCAAACCTCCTTATTGCTGCTCCAGCTCAGAAACAAGTTGGCCCCACGTCACCGAAGCATTCACAGAAAAGAGGGTTCTCCCCTCAACTTCACAAATGCTACTCCAAAGCCCCCGATCTTCTTGGAAACTTAGAAGTCGTCTCGTCCTAACTGACGCCTGTATTTCTGTATACCAACCTTATTTATTTCTGTTGAATTTTGTTATGAACTCCGAGCTCTGTCCCATTGGAAAAGAGATTTGTTGGGAAAATGTATGGAGAGAAATCCCGCCTAAAAGTTAAGCCTAACTTTTTAAAATGATATTTGCTAAGTAGCATTTTTTTTTCTTGTTTAGAACAAGTCATGGAGTAGGAGTTCACACAAAGCATGAAGGAGAGCTTCGCTGGAAGGGGCTGTTCTATAGCCAACTTAGTGAGGAAACACTGCACCCTTCAGCAGCGGCTCTCGCACTACAGGTTGCCTCAGCGTTCCCGGAGGCTTGTTCAAACCTGCATTTCTGAACCCACCCACCATCTGATTCAGGAGGCCAGATGCGGGACCTGGGAATCTGCATTTCTAACAAGGCCCCCGGGGCGCAGACGCAGCTGGCCGGGGTCTCACACTGAGAACCCCTGCTGTAGACGAGTTTCAGGGCAGGAGAAAGCCTGGCATGAAGAAATCTGCTTACTGTTGCCCAGGGCTCTCCAGACTCCTCAGAGGGGCTCAGGTGGGGTCCGGGCTAGAAGCATCTGCCTGTGCTGCCCTTCACTGTCCCCTCTTCCTCCTGCCTTCCCTGCTCTTCAGTTCGCTCGCCGACATTCACGGAGGCCTCTTGTGTGCCCGTCTCGGGGCTGCAGGAGGTCCCATCTCCCTTTGTGCTTTCCGGTGCCCCTCCCCCCTCCCTGCCTTAAACCTGCCCTGGGATTAGGAAAAGAAAACGCCGATTCTCACCTTGAAACAAACTCAATAAGGAAAGTGCAGTTTTACCTTAATGTGGCTGTTTTTGGTGAGGCCTGGGGTGGAGCCCTCCAATGTTGGAGGGGGGACATTTTAGGACACCTGGGTGTCTCCTGGTCAGGCTCCCAAGCAACGGGCCCAGACACCACCTGCCAACAGTCCTCGAGCCGGGACCTTGTGCACAGACGCTGACGGGTGAGATGAGTCTGAATGCCCAGTAGCCCAGGTGATGCTGAGGCTGCTGGTCCGGCCGCTCTCGCAGGAACAGGTGGTTGCTGCTTTCCTGGGGCGGGGATCTGTTCATCTATTAAAATGAGCAACAAGTATCAACTCATCTCTAGTGACTCTTTAGCAGCAGGCTCCTCAGAGCCTGGCTGGGACGGACTCAGACTCCAGCTGTGCCATCTTGGGAGCTGAGCTTTCGGTCCCCAAGTCTCCTTCTTACAGAATGAGCCCCACCATGCGGAGCTGCTGAGATTGTCATGAGACTTAGTGAACTCGTGATGCCCTGTCCCCATGTGACGTCTGGCACACCCTAGGTGGGCTTCCCCTACTGTCTCCATTCTGGGTACTTAGGAGGACTTTCTCCTCAGTCCTGAGCTCGAAACAGAAGCTGCACCAGGGAGCTGACTCCTTGGGCTCTGCTGCTGCCTGTTTGCTGGCTCCTTGGCCCCTTCCTCCCGGGCAGCAGGCCAGAGGCGGCCACTTTCACACGTGCTTATTGGGGTTCTGGGGGTGGACCCACGATGGGTCAAATGGCTCTTTGGTCCCAGCTCCAAGGAGCTCCCGTCTCGTGAGGGTGGGCAGCGGAGAGCCCATCACTGTAGCACGTGGGAGATGCTCCCAGTTCCTCACCGGTCCTGGCGCTGGGCCACCTTCAGGGCTGTGGGGAGTGTAGGGACCTGGGAAGACCTCTCTGCTCTCAGAAACAAACCCTTTGCACACTCAGACTGACGCCGATGTCACGTGAGATTTATCCCTCTAGTTTAACAAGAGCTTCTGTCCCCAGAGACTCACTAAGAGGGAGGGCAGGACAGGAGGGTGAGGAAGGGGTAAAGGGCGTCGCGGGGCCCTGGCAGCCTGCCCCCTGGGGGGAGGCCACAACAAGCATTTGCTGAACCGAGGCAGACGCAGACGCAGACGCAGATGCAGACGGAGTCTGCAAGCAGGGGTGGCAGGTTGGTCTCGGTGTCGGTGCTTCCCCGGCCTGGCAGGGCCAGGGGGGCCCCCAGCACGCGTGTCGTACACCGAATCCCCGCCTTGGTCACGGGACTTGTGGCCTGCGTGCCTGCTCACAGGTGGCTCCCTGGGATAGCAGAGTCCTGGTGGGTGCTGGGCCTCTCCAGTCAGGGCTGCTTCGTGGGGAGGGGATTGGCTCTGCCTGTCACTCTGGGGGTGAAGCGGGAAGGGGAGCCCACTGGAGGCCACCTCTGGCATGGTCCCCTGCCCCAGGCTCTGCACCCCCGCTCAGTCGATGCTCCATGCTGCCTGGGCACCTCCAGTGCCGGGGCCGTGGGCTCAGCGCAGAGCAGTGCAGACCCGTGCAGACCTGCTCCGTGCTTCGGGCAGCAGGCCGGTGCTCACACAGGTCGTCTGCCTATGACCTGCCTTCAGTGCAGCCGGGATCGCACCACAGGGCAGCCTGGCCCGGAGAAGGGGCAGCTTCCCTGAGACTGACGGAGGAGTGGGGTCCGCTGGGTGAGCCTTCGAGACACACTCACCCCAAATGCTCAGGAGGAGAGGAAGGAGGGAGGCCGCGTTGCAGGGCAAACCGCACACGCACAACCGGGAGCAGGACGGACGAAGCCAGAGCGTGTGCGGAAGCCGGGCACTGGAGGAGCAGGCGGCACTGCCGTGGGGAGGCACCGGTGACTGCGTGTTACTCTCAGCCGTGTGTGTGCCAGAGAAACTGAGGCAGAGTCACAGTGAGCACTGGCCAGATTCCCCAACCTCCCTCCTGTGCCTTGCTTGGGTTCTGCAGGGAAGCCTGGGAGGCCTCTTCCCTTCTCTCCACCTTTCCCAGGCTCATCCCACACCTTCCTCCTCCAGAAAGCCCACAGGCTGGTTCAGGCCACTCAGAAGACTCCTTATTGCCTACAGCCGCACTTTGAACTTATCAAGCGCCTGTCCTGGGTTGCTTTGCTATCCTGTGTAATGAGCATTCAGAACTGTGTCCGCCTCAGCACCAGGCAGAGAGCTAGGGTTGGTAGAAAGCAAAGGAGGGTTAGTTAGACTCCACTGAGCAAAATCCAGGAAACTGGGCAGAGCAGCCACATGAACGATTTGGCCTCTGTCCCTGGTCGCTTGCACTGAGAATGAATGAACGGACGAGAAGGCCTGGACGGAAGCATGCGTGCAAGGATCAGAGGGGAGCCCTTCTCGGTGTTAGGCAGCCAGTCTCTCACTGGGGGTGCAGGAGGAAGAGCGTGGGGCGTGGGTTTCTGTCCAGGCTCCACAAGGCCAATCAGCTGTTCCCAGAGCTGCCCTGGGCTCAAGCCCCCACTGCCCAAGGAGTTTCTAGAGGCTCCATCAGGCCACAGTGTGAAGGGGTTTGCGAGAGGCCGCAGCATGCTGAGGGTGACGCTGATCCGTTTGCAGGATAGAGAACCTGTTCATCAACCGCTTCATGCACATGTTCCAGTCTTCCTGGAGCGACTTCGCTGACTTCGAAAAAATCTTTGTCAAGATCAGCAACACTATTTCTGGTGAGTGTCCCCGTGGGGCTCTCGCGGTGCTGGGAGGTGAGCTGGCATGGGAAAGGGCTGCCCCACCTGTTCCAGCGTGGCTGGCCCGCAGGCCTGGCGGCCCGGGGCCCGTCGCCGCGCACGACGCTGTTCTCCACAGAGCTGGCTCCTTTTGTATTCCTACCAACAGTGCCCAAGGTTCCGGCTTCCCCAAACCCTCACCGGGTGTCTTTTGTTGTTTCAGTTTTTATAATAGCCATCTGACAGTTTTTATTTGCATTTCCCTGGTGTTTAGTGTCATTAAGCATTTTTTCATACATCTGCTAGCCATTTGTATGTCTTCTTTGGAGAAATGTCTGTTCAAGTCCTTTGCCCATTTTTTAATTGAGCCATTAATGTTTTGTGATTGAGTTGTAGGAGTATCATATATATTTGGTACATTAACCCCTCATCACACGCGCACACACACACACGCACACACACATGCTTGGCAAACATTTTCTCCCGTTCTGTAGGTTGCCTTTCACTCTGTTGGTTGTTTCACTGCTGTGCACACGTTTTCTAGTTTAATTCAATCCCATTTGCCTTTTATTGTTTTTGTGCTTGAGAAAAATGTGCCCCAGAAAACTTCTAAGGGCTGAGGGAGCCAGGAGGGCGCAGTGGCCCGACCGGACCAGGCGCTGGAAATGTGGGCGGAGCCTGTGATCAGCCAGCTGTCTAGGGAGGGGCCAGCGGGGCTGGGCTGCCCCCACTGAGATCTCAGGCTGTGCCTCGATTCTCCCCTCCATAGAGCAGGTCATGAATCACTGGCAGGAAGACCGAATATTCGGGTACCAGTTCCTGAATGGCTGCAACCCCGTGTTGATCCAGCGCTGCACCAAGTTGCCCGAGAAGCTCCCAGTGACCACGGAGATGGTGGAGTGCAGCCTGGAGCGGCAGCTCACCTTGGAGCAGGAGGTTGAGGTAGGACTTGGTTGTTGGGGACAGTGGCCAGGCTGGAAGGCCAGCTTAGATGGCCAAATCACACTCTGTGGGGCAAGAGCACCAGTGTCTACAGAAGAACCTTAGAATGTCAGAACTGAGACAGGGCTGACCCCCTCACTTTCCAAAGGATGACACCAAGACCAAAGAGAGAAGGAGGCCTGGGATAAGAGAGAAATGCCCTATCGCAGGCCCAAATCCCAGGCCTCCGGGTTCGCAGGCCTCCGGGTTCGCAGGCCTCCGGGTTCGCAGGCCTCCGGGTTCGCAGGCCTCCGGGTTCCCAGGCCTCCGGGTTCCCAGGCCTCCGGGTTCCCAGGCCTCCGGGTTCGCAGGCCTCCGGGTTCGCAGGCCCCCTGGTTCCCAGGCCTCTGGGTTCGCAGGCCTCCGGGTTCGCAGGCCTCCGGGTTCGCAGGCCTCCGGGTTCCCAGGCCCCCTGGTTCCCAGGCCTCCGGGTTCGCAGGCCTCCGGGTTCGCAGGCCCCCTGGTTCGCAGGCCCCCTGGTTCGCAGGCCTCCGGGTTCCCAGGCCTCCGGGTTCGCAGGCCTCCGGGTTCGCAGGCCTCCGGGTTCCCAGGCCTCCGGGTTCGCAGGCCCCCGGGTTCGCAGGCCCCCGGGTTCGCAGGCCCCCGGGTTCGCAGGCCCCCTGGTTCCCAGGCCCCCTGGTTCCCAGGCCCCCTGGTTCCCAGGCCTCCGGGTTCGCAGGCCTCCGGGTTCGCAGGCCTCCGGGTTCCCAGGCCTCCGGGTTCCCAGGCCTCCGGGTTCCCAGGCCTCCGGGTTCGCAGGCCTCCGGGTTCGCAGGCCTCCGGGTTCCCAGGCCTCCGGGTTCGCAGGCCTCCGGGTTCGCAGGCCTCCGGGTTCGCAGGCCTCCGGGTTCCCAGGCCTCCGGGTTCCCAGGCCTCCGGGTTCCCAGGCCTCCGGGTTCCCAGGCCTCCGGGTTCCCAGGCCCCCGGGTTCCCAGGCCCCCGGGTTCCCAGGCCCCCGGGTTCCCAGGCCTCCGGGTTCCCAGGCCTCCGGGTTCGCAGGCCTCCGGGTTCCCAGGCCTCCGGGTTCCCAGGCCTCCGGGTTCCCAGGCCTCCGGGTTCCCAGGCCTCCGGGTTCGCAGGCCTCCGGGTTCGCAGGCCTCCGGGTTCGCAGGCCCCCTGGTTCCCCAGGCCTCCGGGTTCGCAGGCCTCCGGGTTCGCAGGCCTCCGGGTTCCCAGGCCTCCGGGTTCCCAGGCCTCCGGGTTCCCAGGCCTCCGGGTTCCCAGGCCCCCGGGTTCCCAGGCCCCCTGGTTCCCAGGCCCCCTGGTTCCCAGGCCTCCGGGTTCGCAGGCCCCCGGGTTCGCAGGCCTCCGGGTTCGCAGGCCTCCGGGTTCCCAGGCCTCCGGGTTCCCAGGCCTCCGGGTTCCCAGGCCCCCGGGTTCCCAGGCCCCCTGGTTCCCGGCCCCCCTGGTTCCAGGCCCTCCGGGTTCGCAGGCCCCCGGGTTCGCAGGCCTCCGGGTTCGCAGGCCTCCGGGTTCCCAGGCCTCCGGGTTCGCAGGCCCCTGGTTCCCAGGCCTCCGGGTTCCCAGGCCTTCCGGGTTCCCAGGCCTCGGTTTCCAGGCCTCCGGGTTCCCAGGCCCTACTGGTTCCCAGGCCTCCGGGTTCCGCAGGCCTCCGGGTTTCCCAGGCACTCAGGTTTCCCAGGCTCCGGGTTCCCAGGCCTCCGGGTTCCCAGGCCCCCTGGTTCCCAGGCCCCCTGGTTCGCAGGCCTCCGGGTTCCCAGGCCCCCTGGTTCCCAGGCCTCCGGGTTCGCAGGCCTCCGGGTTCCCAGGCCCCCTGGTTCCCAGGCCTGAGCTGGCAGGAACTCCCTTTAGCCTGTCATTCATCACATGCTACCCTGGGTCCTCACAATTTGATTGGCAGCTGTCACATCTGTTTTGACAGGCCAGTTGCCCAGCCCATCACAGAAGCCCAGACAGCCCACCTGTGCCCACCTTCTCGTCCAGGTGTCCCGAGAAGTCGTCACACACTCTCCCGAAACACCCCTCTGCCCTGGTTGGCCAAGGACACAGCCCGCCTCACTGCCCCATCCCTGCCCCGCGTGATGGCAGGCAGACACTCAGAGCTCATTGCTGGTGTCCCACCACCGCGGGGCCTTCACATGCACAGAGTGGAAGGTGGTGGCCGGGCTCTGAGCTCACTGGTCCTTGATACCCCCCAGCCAGAGCTCACGAAGCGTACGCAGTGGCCACAGTGTGTCCTCTGCAGGAGGACACGCAACTCCTCTAAGCTCTTGCTGACCTGTCTCTGCCACACTTCGTCCCCAAGCCCTTCCCCAGCTGCCTGCACCCCTGCCTCTGTCACTCACCCCAGACAAGGAAGGCCACTGCAGACGGTCCCAGGGACGTGAGGTAGTACACAGGGAATGTGGTCAGCAATATTGTAATAACTATGTGTATAAATGCCTGCCACTCTGTGTACACCTGCCACACGCACACACACACACACACACGGGGGCTGACGAAGCACGCTTGCCCGCTGCCCGAACTCCGAGTCTGGCCTGAGCTGGCCTCCGCTGTGCAAAAGGACGCCTGCACACTCGGGTCAGGACCCCTCGGAGGGCTCAGGTGCAGTCTGGAGCCGGCAGTTCTCTACCTTTCCCGAACCCCAGGCACGTGCGTTCTGTAGTGACACAAAAAACAGACCAGGGAGCAAATCAGGAGTGTCAGCAAGCTCAACGAACTCGCACCCAGTGACACATCCACGGTGCCCCCCGCCTCACACAAGGACACAGAGCACAGCACTCCCTGCCCCCAAAGAGCACCCCCTACCTGAGGACCACATCCGGACCCTCAGCCCCTGCCTGCCTCCGCAGACCCCACCCCTACACAGCAGCCCTGCGGACCCTGCCCTTCCCAGACCCGCCCCTCTCCTCTCTGTCCCAGGGTGACTCGCGGTGGAGTTCAGTTCTGAACTGATGTGGCTGGAGTCCCACAGTGACACTCTGCTAGTGGACACCCCCTTTTCATCCAAGCTCTCTGTGCTTTCTTCCTGTCCAACGGCCTCTCTGGGCGGGCTTTCGGCATCTTTCACAGGACTGAACAGATTTCAGGCAACACGAAAGCGAACTGGCCACTGCCATTCCGTCACCTGGTGGGGAAACCTCACAACCTGAAAAGTCTTGATGGGAACCAGCCTTTGAGTCGGAGAACCAACCAATTCTGAACACAGCTCAGGGCCCTGCAGGGCTGCCCCTCCTCCCTGCGGGCCTCACTGCAGGTCCATCTGGAGCTGACCCTGATTCGGACACATTTCCCCTTGCTCCTCCAGCAAGGGAACATCTTCATCGTGGACTTCGAGCTGCTGGACGGCATCGATGCCAACAAAACGGACCCCTGCACTCTGCAGTTCCTGGCCGCACCCATCTGCTTGCTGTACAAGAACCTGGCCAACAAGATAGTCCCCATTGCCATCCAGGTAGGCTGCTGCCGCCTCTTCTCCTGGGCGCTCCGCCCAGACCTCCAGGGAAGGAGGCTCTGTGCCGCGGGTCCTGAGGAAGGCACCACTGAGCTCTTCCAGGGGACAGCGCTGTCCACAGGGACAGAGAGGGCTCCACGTCCCCAGATACACTCGAGGAACCCCTAGCAAGGCGAGGTGCTCTGCGGAAGACCTGCCCAGGGATAACATAGTTCACCCCAACCCTGAGCAGGGACCCCAGATCAAAATGGCCACAGGGCCCTGGTGACACTGTGATGTGGGCGGGAGACTGAAGCCACCGAGAGACCCCAGGGAGGCTGGGCCTGGGGCCGGGCCAGTCCTGGGAAGCTGTCTTCCAGGGCCCAGGGCTCTGGTTTCCACCAAGGACAGTGGGAGAAGAGAGAGGGGAGCAGTTTGGGGGAGAGGCAGGTGGGGCAGAGTTTCCTCTCTCCCCACTCCTGGCTGCTCTCTGCTTCCCCAAAGCACCAGATGCGGGGCACCGAGACAGCCGGTGTCCAGACGGCAGGAAACAGTACCCAGGGAGGGCCAGGCAGAGGTCCTTGGGGTGTCTGCACAGGGCCCATGGCAACAGGGCCCATGGCAACAGGGCCCATGGCAACAGGCAGACAAGCATTCAGCAAACAGTACTTTGAGCCAACTGTGGACAGGCGTTGGGTGCTATAGACAGAAAAGCCGCTGATGTTGCCCAGTGCTAACCACAGGCCAAGACTGTCCTTAAGGGTTGCCCGCACGGTCCACAATCCCTTATCCTCAATTCTGAAATCTAAAAAAAAATGTACACTACTCGGTTTTTCAAAAATTGGCAGCAAATTCATCGGTAGCAAAACTTCCTCTGAATCAGCAGGAGAGGCTGTTACGGGCTTTGTCCCATTGAAGGAGAAATTCGTTTGTCACCGCAGGAAGACCTAGCGTGTTTGAGCGCAAGTAGTGTGCTGTCCCGGGCAGGGTGGGAGGAGGAGGCACCACGCAGTGAAGCATGCGCACTGCTGAAGCCTTGAGAATCTTGGATGCTGAACGTTCAGCTGTCAGGGTTGCCGGTAAGGACCTGTCCCTATTCACGTAACCATCACCTCAACCCTGCAAGGTAGGTGGACACTATGGCCAGGGACCGTTTTCCTCAGATGGGGAAACTGAGGCACAGGTGCACATAGTTAGTGGCAAAGCTGGGACTCACGCCAGGCGGTCTGGCTTCCAGAGCCCATGCTGCCCGGCCGCCCAGTCCCGGGCACGTCTCCTCGAGAACGGAGCCAGCGCAGTCAGAGAGGAGCCCCGCGCTTCGGAATGCAGCCCAGGGAAGAGGGACAGCAGGCTGAAGTCAACCGCAGGAGGGGCCGCTGCCCACCGCGTGCGCCTTGGCGGGCAGCCTGTGCCCCGAGACCGCGGACGGCCTGGGCGGGCCTGGCTTCTGTCCCAGCTCTGCCCCGTGCCTACAGGCCGCGGGACCCTGGCGAGTCACGGAATATTCCTGAAGCTCTTCCCACTCCTGAAAATGGAGGCTTTGTAGACTATAAAGAACCATGCAGACGAAGGCCAGAGGGTAATAAATTCAAAATCTGGTTCTGAAAAAGTTCCAAGAAAATAATCCCTTAAGAGGCTAATGAAAGAATAAAAGAGCCAAAATATATACGATTAGGCATAAGAAGAAAGATGGTCACAAATTTTTTTAAAAGTAATTATGTGGCAACAAATTTGAAAAATGAGAGGAAAAACCAAGCAAAACAGAAATTATTAGACAAAATTGTAGAAAATCAGCCCATTTCCACATACGCGACGAGGACACTGAGTAAGTGCCTGGCCAGAGACCTGTGGGGGCCGCTGAGCTGCCGGTACCTTCAGACGACGCACTCCAGGGCTCCCTGAGACAGCGCCCCCGGTCACTCTGGCCGCAGGCGTGGCCTCGGGGCGCCTGGTGCCGCCCCTCCAGGGAGGGCTGAGACCACGCCCGTGACCCAGAGATGCTAAGAGAACTCGGACAAGGGTACCAGCAAAGTGAACGCAGCAGTTCGTAAGTGACTGATATGTCATAACCCAGATGCCTCCGCAGCAGGATACCTGTCAGTATAATACCCTAAATCAATAGGGAAAACCTTCTGGTCATATCAGTTGAAAGCTAAAGGAAATTTAATAACATTTAGTAGCCACGACTTATAAAAATTAAAATAATAATAGAAGGAAATGATTTCCACATGACAAAGCCAGGAAATATCATTCAAAAATGGCAATCCTGAGGCCATTTCCATTAAAATCAGGAACAAGAATGTTTAATGATCAAAGCAGTTAAACAAAATAGAAGCAGACACAGATACAGAGAACAGACTGACAGACAGTAGGGGTTGTGGTGCTGGTTGGAAAAGGTGAAGGGATTAAGCAAAAAAACAAAAACTCTTAGACACAGACAACAGAATGGTGGTTACCAGAGGGAAGGGGGGTGGGGGGTGGGAGAGGGTAGAGGGGGATAAATGGTGATGGAAGGAGACTTGACTTGGGTGGTGAACACAGAACACAACAGACAGATGAGGTATAGAATTGTACACCTGAAAACGTATCGATTTCATTAACCAATGTCACCCCAGTACATTCAATAAAAAATTTAAAAAACACCAAGAATATCACCATTGTTATTTAACATTGTCCTAGATGTGATAAACAAGAAAATAAAATAAACATGTAAATAACAGAAAAGACTATATTTTGGTAATGATATGATTGATGGTGGACCTAGAAAACCTAACAGATTCTAATTTTTTATAAAGCTACTGAAGTTAATAAGTTAATTTAGCAAGGTGTCAATTTTTTTAAAAGCCACTAGAATTAATAAGTTAACAAGGTGTCAATTTTTTAAAAGCCACTAGAATTAATAAGTTAACTTAACAAGGTGTCAATTTTTTAAAAGCCACTAGAATTAATAAGTTGACTTAGCAAGGTGTCAGTACTCCTCAAAAACACCATTAGCTTTTCTCCATGGTAGCGATACAACATAATACCCATATGAAGGGTATAAATATCTCACGAATAATTTTATATTATTTTATGTTGAAATGATAATGTTTTAGATCTAGTAGGTTAAAAAATCATATTATTAATATAAATGTCACCTGTTTCCTTTTACTTCTATTACTGAGGCTGCCTGAAAACTTAGAATTCTGTCTGTGACCTGCACTGTTCCTGTTGGACACAGCTGCTTTGAAAGAGAGCCGGGGAAAGTACCTTGGAAAGCAGGCGGCTCTCCTCCCTCTGCCGCAGCTGCACTGATGTCTGCAGGGCCTGCCTCAGCACAGCCCTTCCAGCCCTCCCCTCAGCCCCCGCAGCTGGAGCTGCTCCCCACTCTCCTCTGGTCCGGACAGCACCACCCTCAGGTCCACCCTTACTTCCAGACGCTGTCCTCTGAGAGACAGGCAATGAGGGCGCCTGCCTGCAGACTCACCTCACCTGCGGGGTCCTGAAGCTGAGCCAGGGCAGGGAATGCCAGTGGCTGCTGGCATGGGCAAAGCTAAGGACCAGGGCTTGCAGATGCGAGGGGATGCGAGCAGGGATCTGACGTCAGCGGCCAGGCCCCTTTTCAGGTATTTTGAGATAAAGGTTTTTAAAGAAAGGAAGTGACTGAGTGTTTCAGAAGAAGGGATCGGCATGACATGATTGTTCTTTTAGAGAAAAATGACCTTGGCCCAGTGTGGACTTGCAGCTGGGAGGTAAGACAGCCTGGTCTCTACTAGGGAGGCACCTGGCCGCAGGTCTGGGCTCAGGACGGTGACCTCGGGGACACTGCAGCACAAGGGCCCCAGAGCCCTGGGAATGAGGAGCTAGTCCTGCACGCAGCAGAGCCGGGCACGCAGCAGAGCCGGGCACGCAGCACAGCAGCACTGGGCACACAGCAGAGCCGGGCACGCAGCACAGCCGGCACGCAGCACAGCAGCACTGGGTACACAGCAGAGCCAGGCACGCAGCACAGCCAGGCACGCAGCACAGCAGCACTGGGCACACAGCAGAGCCGGGCACGCAGCACAGCCAGGCACGCAGCACAGCAGCACTGGGCACACAGCAGAGCCGGGCACGCAGCACAGCCGGCACGCAGCACAGCCGGGCACGCAGCACAGCCGGGCACACAGCAGAGCCGGGCACACAGCAGAGCCGGGCACGCAGCACAGCCGGCACGCAGCACAGCCGGGCACACAGCACAGCCGGCACGCAGCAGAGCCGAGCACGCAGCATAGCCGGGCACGCAGCAAAGCCGGGCATGCAGCACAGCCGGGCATGCAGCACAGCCGGCACGCAGCACAGCAGCACTGGGCACGCAGCACAGCAGCACTGGGCACGCAGCACAGCCGGCACGCAGCACAGCAGCACTGGGCACGCAGCACAGCCGGCACGCAGCACAGCAGCACTGGGCACGCAGCACAGCCGGGCACGCAGTAGAGCCGGCACGCAGCACAGCCAGGCACGCAGCACAGCCGGCACGCAGCACAGCAGCACTGGGCACGCAGCACAGCCGGGCACGCAGTAGAGCCGGCACGCAGCACAGCCGGGCATGCAGCACAGCCGGCACGCAGCACAGCCGGGCACGCAGTAGAGCCGGCACGCAGCACAGCCGGGCATGCAGCACAGCCGGCACGCAGCACAGCCGGGCACGCAGTAGAGCCGGGCATGCAGCACAGCCGGCACGCAGCACAGCAGCACTGGGCACGCAGCACAGCAGCACTGGGCACGCAGCACAGCCGGGCACGCAGTAGAGCCGGCACGCAGCACAGCCGGGCATGCAGCACAGCCGGCACGCAGCACAGCCGGGCACGCAGTAGAGCCGGCACGCAGCACAGCCGGGCATGCAGCACAGCCGGCACGCAGCACAGCCGGGCACGCAGTAGAGCCGGGCATGCAGCACAGCCGGCACGCAGCACAGCAGCACTGGGCACGCAGCACAGCAGCACTGGGCACGCAGCACAGCCGGGCACGCAGTAGAGCCGGCACGCAGCACAGCCGGGCATGCAGCACAGCCGGCACGCAGCACAGCAGCACTGGGCACGCAGCACAGCCGGGCACGCAGTAGAGCCGGGCATGCAGCACAGCCGGCACGCAGCACAGCAGCACTGGGCACGCAGCACAGCAGCACTGGGCACGCAGTAGAGCCGGCACGCAGCACAGCCGGCACGCAGCACAGCTGGGCACAGCAGCATTTAAGGGAAGAGTAGAGGAAGGGAAAGTGCCGGAAACCAAAAGGCAGCCAGACCCGGGGAGTGCCAGGGGGGGAGGCAAGAGGAGGAAGGGCGGGGGAAGACCAGGACAGGTGCCTGGGCACCTCACCTGCGCACTTCCTGCTGGCGCCCTCATGCCTGCTGATTCACGGCTGCAGTCGCTCTGTGAGCGGAGTGCTGTCCCCTTGTTCCCGACGGCAACGGCAGAGCGCTGACAGGCTCAGTAAGCGTCCAGGGTCCCACAGGTGTGAGCATGTGTCTGAGCCACCTGCCCTCCCTCGGGGTCCTCTCAGGATTCCAAGGCCACTGTTTAAGAGATCTGGATTCTTTTTTAAAAAATTATTTAATTAATTATTTATTTTTGTTACAGATGTTTCTCCTTTTCCCCCATTGACACCCTCCTCCCCTCCCTCCCCACCCTGTCCCCAGCTTTGTTGTCCATGTCCATTGGTCACGCGTACATGCATGTAAGCTCTGTGGTTTATCTCCCCACCCCCTCTGGGGATTGTCAGTCTGTACCCCACTTCCACGTCGCTGGGACAAGAGATCTGGGTTCTTCTGGAACTTCCCAGGGGCCAGGCTCTCCTGTGGCTGCAGTCGGGGTGAAGGATTGCAGCATGTGTTCTCTCTTCTATGTACCAGCTCAACCAAGTCCCGGGAGAAGAAAACCCCATTTTCCTTCCTTCGGATGCAAAATATGACTGGCTTCTGGCCAAAATCTGGGTGCGCTCCAGCGATTTCCACGTCCACCAGACTATCACCCACCTCTTGCGCACACACCTGGTGTCAGAGGTTTTTGGCATCGCCATGTACCGCCAGCTGCCCGCCGTGCACCCCGTTTTTAAGGTAGAGCAAGCTTCTGCCTCGCCCAGTGGGGGAGGTGTCTGGTTGGAGGGGACAGGAGGGACGGGGAGGAGCACTGACCCCCCTCACAGGACTGTGCTGGGAGGGCCAGCAGACAGGGACCCCTGGAGAGATGTTTAGGGGGCAGTAACACCTCTGCTTCCCGAGGACACAGGGCTGGGGCCTGACACCCCGAGTTGGAAACGGAAGATGAGCTCAGCATTATCTTTGTCTGAGCCCAGGCAGCAGCCCCTCCGTCACTGCCCTTCTCTGAGCCCCATCAGCGCTGACTGCTGGGGTGACAGCGGCCTAGAAATATCCCAGGTGCCTCAGGTATAAGAAAGGTCAAACAGTGCGCCTGCCCCGTAGGTCGCTGTAGGGCTAAAGGAGTTCACACATTTAGAGCCTGACACAGTGCCTGGCACGTAGACAAGCTGTAGACAGCGCTGGCTGTCCCCGTGTCACCGGCACTGCTGCTGAGCGTCCAGCCGCACCCTCCATGGACTGGCCGAGATGCCAAGGGTCCGGGCTGCAGAGGAGACACAGACCTGGCCGAGCCCCGCCGGCCTCGCTGACGTCTGCTCTGCCCTCTGCCCAGCTCCTGGTGGCGCACGTGCGGTTCACCATCGCCATCAACACCAAGGCCCGGGAGCAGCTCATCTGCGAGTGCGGCCTCTTCGACAAGGTGGGCACCTCCCACCCACCCGTCAGGGCCGGCCCCGCCGGGGCACCCACTTCTGAAGCCTGCACGGGTTCCCTCTCAGGAGGCCGGAGGCACGAGGTGGAGGCGGGGGGGGGGGGGCAGAGCGCAGGCTCCCAGGTCTGTGGCTGGTCTCTGGCCCCTTCCCCCCGCCGCTGGGCGAGCCCTCCTCTCCTGCCTGCAGCCCGTTCCTTCTCCTTCTCGGCGGCCTCCCGGTCACTTCCTCCACCCCCCTTCACCTTCAGGCACGTGGGTGCAGACCCAGCCTCCGGGCACCCACTCCTCACCTCCTGCGCACTAGGGACCTGCACCCCCACCACCCTGCCGCCCATCACTCGCAACACAGCCTCCCCACCCTCTGCCCTCCCAGGCCCAGTGCTCCCAGCCCATTTTCCGCCTCAGTTCCTGCTCGTCCCGTACGTTCTCCCAGGCAGCACCCCACTCTGCTTTGACCCCCCGTAGCCTTCCCAAGCCCAGACTCCCCCCCTCCCCCCATCCCCAGCGCTCAGGTCGAGCTACTCTTCGGGCTGCGAAGGACAAACCCAGCTCGAACCAGCGGCAGCTGGAAAGGAAATGTACTACCTCATACACCTGGACGTGTGGGGCGAGGGGCTCAGACCAGGATGACCCAGGACTCGGGGTCCCGGGTCCAAGCACGCCGGCTCACACCCCCTCTCTGCACTGTGTTGGCCTCATTCTCCAGAAAGGCATCCCCACGGGACGAGGAACAAGGCGCATCACCACGAGCTCCAAGCTCACGTCTCCGTGTAGTGACCGTCCTGTCCCTTTCCAGTAGTACCGGGCGTCTCTGCTCAGTCCCACATGGGGCAAATGAGCCGAGGACGCGTGTCTGGCACGCAGCACCCAAGGCTGCGTAGCCTCCAAGGGCGCGTGTGCATGCTTGAGAGCCCGGCGCCCGGCCCAGCCGCCGGGAGGAGGTCCGGGTCCCTCCTTGTACCCTCTCCAACCCTCCCCTAAGCACACCACTAGCCCTCAACACAATTGTGGATGTCCTGGGGCTGGGATCTGCCCCTTTCTTTCATCCAAAGGTTGGCCACTGAGCAGTCCTGGGATTCTGGGCAGCCTGAGCTCAGAGCGAGAGCAGACTCCAGGCTGCAGCAGCCCAGGTCCCCAGCTGTCCCCGCTGCCACTCAGGGTGGGAGTCTGCCCCTCCTTCTGCAGCTGCCCAGTCTCTGCACAAACCCATCCACGTCAACCCCTTGCAGAGGCTCCTCCCGTAACCTCTCCGAGTTAAACATCCCTCCCCCCGCCTCACAGGACCTGGCTTCGGCCTCTGCATGCCTGGCCAAGGCCCCGCTGGCCTCCTGGTGAGCTGGGCGAAGCTGGGGAGGGGGCTGCCTCCGCTCACAGCACTCTCTCTTCCCTCCCCTCAGGCCAATGCCACCGGGGGCGGTGGGCACGTGCAGATGGTGCAGAAGGCCATGCAGGACTTGACCTACACCTCCCTGTGCTTTCCTGAGGCCATCAAGGCCCGGGGCATGGACAGCACAGAGGACATTCCCTACTACTTCTACCGGGACGACGGGCTCCTGGTGTGGGAGGCCATCAAGACGTGAGTGACTGCTGCGTTGTGGGTCCACTCTGTGTGGCCTGCGTGGAGGTGCTGCAGGGGGAGTGGACACGGGCATTGATGGACTCAGAGCCAGGTGCCTGGCTTTGTTGTCAGGGCACTGATGGAGGAAGGGGGACCTGGGGGGGGGGTGACCTAGTGACCTGGATGTTAAGGGGTAAATGACAGCGTCCTGCCCTGGGGCCTGGGGCACAGCTCGGCAGACCCTAGCTGGATCACCCACTCCTCGCTGGGCCTCTTCTCCTGAGCCAGGTTTACGGCCGACGTGGTGGGCATCTACTACGAGAGTGACCAGGTGGTGGTGGAGGACCAGGAGCTGCAGGACTTCGTGAGAGATGTCTACGTGTACGGCATGCGGGGCAAGAAGGCCTCAGGTACGGCCACTCCCAGCTCTCCCCCACCCCTGCACCTCTGAATTTCCTTGTGACATACACCTTAGAACCTGGTGCCGGTGCCAGAGTCCCCAAGGGACCCCTGGCCACCAGGATGCTTCATGGAGACATTTCAGGGTCGTTCTGTGATCCTGAGAGCCTGGGTCAGAAACGTCAGGACCCTGGACCCAGCCGCTCTCGCCCTCCCAGTGTGTCTCGCCCATGCCGGTCTCGCCAGCACGGATGTGGGGGACCCGGGGAAGGCTGGGTGGGGAGGGCTCTGCTGGTTGGGTGCCCCTCCTGGGAGACGGGGCCTCAGCACTCCCTGGCTCCGCCCTAGGTTTCCCGAAGTCCGTCAAGACGAGGGAGAAGCTGTCCGAGTACCTGACTGTGGTGATCTTCACAGCCTCCGCTCAGCATGCCGCCGTGAACTTCGGCCAGGTGGGCAGGGGCAGGGTGAGACCTCTGGGTGGGAAATCGCCAAGGTCACCTGACCCTGACTGCTACTGACCTGCAGGGTGAGGCCACCTCTCTTAGCCTTTCAGCCCCCCAGTCAGCTACAGGACGCCGGGTGGCCCTCAGGGCTCACATCAGGTGTCCTGTTGAGAACTCTGCCCACTTAGCAGAGGGCCCCGGCCACCCACAGCAAGGGGCTGGGGCCCAACTGCTGGCCCTGCTGGAGGGGTGGGTGCACAGTGGGGGTGGGAACATGGGGGGCAGCAGCTGGACAGCACGCAGCGTCTCTCCCTGTAGTATGACTGGTGCTCCTGGATCCCCAACGCCCCGCCAACCATGCGGGCCCCACCGCCCACCGCCAAGGGGGTGGTCACCATTGAGCAGATCGTCGAGACGCTGCCCGACCGAGGCCGCTCCTGCTGGCATCTGGGCGCAGTGTGGGCACTGAGCCAGTTCCAGGAAAACGAGGTGAGGCCGTGTGCCCCAGGTCCGACCCACTCCTCAACCTCAGGGTTTTGAGATCCGGGACAAGGGCGGATACCTGGCCTTCAGGAATCCGACTTCCGAGGCGGAAGTGGCCCACAGGTCGTCAGTCCTGAGGCTCGAGGGAGCTCGGGGTGGTAGGAGGACCCTGCTCCACTGTGACGTCCCCACAAAGGCGCCCCAGCTGCTGACAAAGCTCTCTTGTGGGCTTCTCCCTGCTGCCCAGAGCTAACGACCAGGAGCGTCCTGGGCCACGCACACACCCGTTTCTCCGAGCCTGAGGCTGGTGCCCACCGCACGGCTCAGTGCTCGGAATGACTCCCACACCCCGGGGCTGGACACTGCAGGACACCTGCGTGTCCGAGGGCCAGAGGGCACACTCCCAGCAGCGGGTTCTCCGGCAGTGTTGAGGCTGAGCTGCCCCCACCAGCTTCCTCCAAACCCCACCCACAGCGCGTGCTGCCTCTCCCACGGCCCGGGTGCGGAGCCTTCCCGGGTCAGCCATCCAGTAGCTTCCCTGTGTCGTTTCCATCTGCAGACATCTGTGTGGGGTGCGGCGAGCACACCCCGCCCACACGGTGGGGACGGCAGGCTGCCCCTGTGCCGCGGGAGCGGGGTGGCCGGCGGGTGCTGTGCAGCAAGGCCACCTGCCGGGACCACACGGCCTCGCTGCGGGCGCCGGCCCGTGTCCCTGTGCCACCCGGCAGGGCCGCTGCGTCTCCATCGTCTGCAGCCCCCGCCCAGCGCTGTCCTCGGGGAGCCAGGCTGGGGACGGCACTTACCTCCTCAGCGAGCAGCAGGGGCTGACCGCCAAGGGGTGACCTCTGGGGTGGGACAAGGTCTGCCAATTAACGTCGCTGCATTGCAGACTCACCTGTGTCTGTCTGTCTGTCCGCGCTCTCAGTTGTTCCTGGGCATGTACCCGGAGGAGCACTTCATCGAGAGGCCCGTGAAGGAGGCCATGGCCCGCTTCCGCAAGGACCTGGCCGCCATCGTCAGTGTGATCGCCGAGCGCAACAAGAACAAGAAGCTGCCCTATTACTACCTGTCTCCAGACCGGATTCCCAACAGCGTTGCCATATGACGGCTGCCGAGCCGCCTCGCTCCGGGCCGGCGCCCCGAAGCCGGCAGGCGGGGAGCTCACGGGGCGGCAGGGGCAGGCCTCCTGGCCTCTTTCTTCCCAAGCTTCCCAGGATCCCTGGGAGTTTTGACCTCAGGCCCCAGGCTGACCAGCTTCAAACCAAAGGCTGCCCAGGGTGGGCCGCGTTCCAGCTTCAGCCCCTGACCTTCCCCTCCGCAGCCGGGAGTGAGCCCACGCTGCGATCCGGCGGGACACGCGGCCTGACCTTCCCCTCCGCAGCCGGGAGTGAGCCCACGCTGCGATCCGGCGGGACACGCGGGCCCCGCGCCCCTCCGGCTTCAGTCCCTGACCTTCCCCTCCGCAGCCGGGAGTGAGCCCACGCTGCGATCCGGCGGGACACGCGGGCCCCGCGCCCCTCCGGCTTCAGTCCCTGACCTTCCCCTCCGCAGCCGGGAGTGAGCCCACGCTGCGATCTGGCGGGACACGCGGGCCCCGCGCCCCCCCGCCGGCTCCGGCTCCGCAGCGCCCTGCCAGCTGACCAGCACGCTGACGGCTCCTTGCTGGAGACAGAATGACTTCTCTGTTCTGTTCGCTTAGTTCAACTTCTTGTGTGTAGTATAGGCCCAAATAAATTCTTGTTGAATTAAGACTTCATTGTCATAAAAATAAAGGTCTGCCCTGGCCGGTTTGGCTCAGCGGTTGGAGCGTTGGCCTGCGGTCTGGAGAGACCCGGGTTCGGTTCCCGCTAAGGGCACGTACCTCGGTTGCAGTTTGTCCCCGGCCCTGGTTGGTCGTGCGGGTGGCAGCCACTCGATGTGTCCCTTCACATTGATGTTTCTCCCTCTCTCTCCCTCCCGCTCTGTCTGAACAAAAAATGGAAAAATGTCCTCGGGTGAGGATAAAAATAAATAAATAAATAAATAAAATAAAGGTCAGTTAAGACAGATTTGCCCTGGCCACTTTGGCTCAGAGGCTAGTGTGTCAGCCTGAGGACCAAGGGTTTGCAGTTCAGTCCCGGCCCTGGTCGGGGTCCTGCGGGAGGCAACCAATCGCTGTCTCTCTCCCTCCCCCCTCCCACTCCATCTACACATCAGTGGAAGAATATCCTCAGGTGAGGACCAACAACAGCAGCAGCAGCTAAACAGGTTTGCTTCCACAGACTGTATTCCGACCAACCTGACAGCTCACATCCCCTCCCCCACAAAAAGCCATAATCACTGATTCCGTGGAGACAAAAGCCTCCCCGCTACCCCAGTCTGGGTATCTTCAAGAAGCTCAGCCAAGTCCGCCCATGTGGTTCAGTGGTTGAGCGTCAACCCATGTTCGATTCCCGGTCAGGACACATGCCCAGGTTGGCCCAATCCCCAGTGGGGGGCATGCAGGAGGCGGCCAATCGATGTTCTCCCTCCTCGATGTTTCAATCTCTCACTCCCTCTCGCTTCCTCTCTAAAATCAATACAGAAAATAAAATAAAAAAAGCTCAGCGAAACCCAAGCAAAATAAATACAAAGTGAGCCATACTTCAGGGGCAGACTCCTCAAAACCAGAGTTAAAGAGAAACCTTGGAAGCTGTGATATATATTACATACAGTGGAATGGTTGTAATTACAGATGAACTTTTCATCAGAGACGTAGGGGCCAGAAGACCATGGAACAGCATTCTTAAAGCACTAAAAGAAAACAATCACCAACACAGTAGCTAGCAAAAAATATCGTTCAAGTATGAAAACAAAATCAAGAAATATCGCCCTGGTCGGTTTGGCTCAGCGGTTAGAGTGTCGGCCTGCGGTCCGGAGAGATGGGGGTTCGATTCCCGCTAAGGGCACGTACCTTAGTTGCAGTTTGTCCCCGGCCCTGGTTGGGTCGTGCGGGTGGCTCCATTCAGTGTGTCTCTCTCACATCGATGTTTCTTCCTCTCTCTCCCTCCCACTCTATCTGAACAAAAAATGGAAAAATGTCCTCAGGTGAAGATAAAAAAAAAAAGAAATCTTCAGGTAAATAAACCTAGGAGAATCAGTTGCTGGCAGATCTACAAGAAATGCTCAAGGAAGTTCTTTAGGCTGTGAACTGACATCAGATAGAAACTCAGGCCTCAGGACAGATGGGAGAGGATCGGAAGTGGTAAATATTTGCTAAATTAGACGTTTCTCCTCCTCTTGATTCCTTTAAAATATATATAACAATTTAAAGCAAAGATATAGCATTGTCACATGGCATTTGCAATACATGTTAAAGATAGTATAAAAGACAATAGGTATTAAATGGACTTTTTCATTGACATGGTTTCTATATCTTATATCAAGTGGCCCAATATTAATTCTAAGTAGTTCATAAAATTTTAAGTAGGTATATTGTAGCCCCTAGGTCAATCACTAAAAACAGTGTATAGCTAAAACCAACAGGTGGTATTCTAAAATATGTAAATAATCCAAAGAAAGCAGAGTCCTGTGTTCATTAGATCAGCACGTGCTTTCCACTGTGGCTACAACAGGAGCCACCCAGGAGGTTCCTCGCCATCCATGAAGAGATGGTTTATGTTTTCTCCACTCAGTGAACAGAGACGTTCACTCAAGTCATGGACTTCCCATCTGAGCAAGAGATTGTTGTCCAGGGCAGATGTGTTGCTCCATACATTTTCTAGGTCCCAAATGGCACTGGAAATACTGAGGAAACATCAGAAGGTTCAGAGCCCAGTTTAAAGGGCTCCTGTTCTGTTCACCCCGACAAAGCTCAGCCATAGGTTAAACCAGGGCTAGCGTGATGCGTGGCCCATGTCACAGTAAATCAGCTCCATGTACTGATTGAAACTAATGACACCAGTGCCTTTGTCCAGGGTCTAAGGCATGGATTAAAGTGTTTATCCTGCTAGCTCCATAAATAAACAAATAAATAAATAAAAAATCAATACCCAACAATATGCTATATACAAGAGACCCACTTTATTTTTATTTTTTTATCCTCACCCGAGGACATTTTTCCAGTTTTTGTTCAGATAGAGTGGGAGGGAGAGAGAGGAAGAGAGAGACAGAGAGAGAGAAACATCGACATGAAAGGGACACATCGAGTGGCTGCCATCCGCATGACCCAACCAGGGCCGGGGAAAAACTGCAACCGAGGTATGTGCCCTTAGTGGGAACCAAAGCTGGGTGTCTCTGGACTGCAGGCCGACGTTCCAACCGCTGAGCCAAACCGGCCAGAGCAGGTTTAAATACATAGCAGGATCAGCAGAATTTCTTCTGTAAATATTTTAGGTTTGGCAGGTTATCTACAGTCTGTTGCATTTGAAAAAGTCCTTTACAAATGTGACACACATTGCTGGTTCAGGGGCTTTACAAACTTAGGCCATGGGCTGGGTGTGACCAGTGGGCTATATATAGTTTGACAGACCTTTGTACAGAGAGACCCATGGTATTTGTGTTTTTTTTTTATCCTCACCCAAGGACATTTTTCCATTTTTTGTTCAGATGGAGTGGGAGGGAGAGAGAGGAAGAGAGAGAGAGGAACATCGATATGAAAGGGACACATCGAGTGGCTGCCACCCACACGACCGACCAGGGCCGGGGACAAACTGCAACCGAGGTACATGCCCTTAGCGGGAACCGAACCCGGGTCTCTCTGGACCGCAGGCCGACGCTCTAACCGCTGAGCCAAACCGGCCAGGGCGAGACCGATGGTATTTGTGAATGGCAAATAAGCACGTGACAAGATGCACATAAAGATGATCAACACTGTCAGTCAGCAGGAAACTGCACCTACAACCACGGTGATTACGATGCACAGCTACAAGAAAGGCTAAAACTCTTGTATATTATGTTGGTGACCGACAACAGCAGATGTTGGCAAGCAGATGAATTAACCTTCACACATTGTTGGTGAGGATATGAAAGGATCCACCTGCTTTGGAAAACACGTGTTTATTTTCTTGTAAACTAAACATATCCCTTCCCTTTCTGAACCAGCATTCCATTCCTAGGTATTTACCCAAGAGAAATGAAAACACATATTCACAAAAATATCCTGAGCAGTTCTACTCATAGTAGCCAAAACTGTAAACGAAAGTATCCAGCAATAAGAAAATGTATGAAACAATTGGCATATTCATTCAATGGACCATCAAACAACAATGAAAAGGAAAGAACTAACATACAATAGCATGGATGAAACTCAAAACAACGTGCTGTCAGAAAGAACTCTTTCTCTGAACCACGGCCGACGCTCTAACCGTGGAGCCAAACCGGCCAGGGCAGAAAGAACTCTTATACAAAGGCGTATGTACTGTATGCCTCCATTGAAATTAAGCCCTAGGATAAGAACTCAGAACAGTGTTTGTTTTAGGAGGTATGAGAACAGGGGAGGACTGAAAAGGGCCATCAGAATTTTTGATAGCAGTTTGGGTTACATAGGTGCATACATTGTCGAAACTCATCAAATGGTACGCTGGAGATTTGTGCATTTTACTCTGTAAATTCTCCCTAAGAACAAAAAGAACCATAAACCATCCTTCAAGTGGTTGGGGTGAGGTATACTTTCAACTGCAATTTACTCTGAAACGCATGAAATAGTAAGTTGATATGTTCCTGGAAAGGGGCCTGGCCCTGGGGGTCTGTCTCGGGTGGCCCGAGTGTGTGGGTTCTTGACTTCATGCAGGACAAGTTTCCAGCACGAGTCCAGGTGAATTTTAAAGGATGTTTATCAAAGCTGGGAACAGAAAAACAAGAAAGGTCTGGGAAATTGAGCATAGGCCGGTCTGCTCTGACTAAGAAGTCAGAGAGAAGGGGCCTTGGGACAGGTTCAGGGGGTGTGCCTGGGATGAGCTGCAACTGCCCAGTGCTGCCCTGGTGGCAAGCCTGTGGGGTCCCCTGGAGCCCATGGGGGAGGAGAGGGGAGCGGGCATGCTCCTGGGAAGGAGAGTGCTGCGGGGTCCTTTGTCTCGAGGCTTTTATTTCTCTCTGGCAAGTGGGAGTCAGGGGAGGTCTCAGGAGGGCTTCACTGAACATCATCAGCTCTCCAGGTGTGCTCCTT